ATCTTTCATGTTTACAAATGAATTTTTCTAAAATTTACATATATTTATTTTCAATATTAAACAACTAACGTACAACGCACGTTAACCACACTAGTGTTGTAAAAAAGACCTAGGCTTCTCTAATGACTGTACACAGAGCATTGTTCAGGAAATATTTTAGTATTTTGGTATGCAGTCCCTGAATTTTTTTATTAGTATAATTCAATCCAGACTTGTTTGTAAGCTATCAAACAGACTTGATCAGACCTATATAATTAAATTCCAACAATTAAACCACAGTCGGACACTATACATTTAATTATTAAGTGCGAAAAACTACACTATCAAGTTATATAAAATCACAAAAGTAAATATTCAACTCCCTACATTAACGTCATCTCCTTAGCTTGCCAACTTGTCTTATCCCCATTGGAAGTCGAATGATTAGATGTGGGATAAAATAACCGATTTACCCTTCCAATCAATTTTCTCATCTAAGTTGCATTTTCTTCAACATTTTTTGTAATGATCAAATCATATAAATTATTTGGACATCACTAAATACTTAGCTCAAATTCAAACGCCTTGGAAGAGAATACTTAAAGCAGATTATCCATGTGAGTGGATGTCAAGAAGGGTGTCAAAATCTTTCTAACAAACAAGTTTAATTAAAAAGAAAATACTTAAAGCGGATTACCCATGTGAGCTTTTATCCATGTGAGTGGATGTCAAGAAGGGTGTCAAAATCTTTCTAACAAACAAGTTTAATTAAAAAGACAATACTTAAAACGGATTACCCATGTGAGCGAATGTCAAGACGGATGTCAAAATTTTTCTGATAAATAAGTTTAATTTAAAGGAGAATATTTAAACGAATTATTCATGTGAGTGGATGTAAAAAAGAGTGTCAAAATCTTTCAAACAAACAAGTTTAATTAAACTTGTGAAGTACCATCACCACAGTCAAAACAATCGGCACACCCCATTTGGCAAAGTAGTTGAACATATAACAAGGTGTCCAGAGGCGGAGCCATGTGCAGTCCAGTGTGGGCACATGCCCACACTGAACTTTGGGCTCAAATAATTTTTTTTTTTTA